AGGTGTCGGTGCAGGATACCCTGAGTCAGAGCGCCGCCGGGCTGGATCACGGGGCGCTCGTGGAGGGGCTCAGAGCGTCCCCAGGCAGGAGGGACAGCCCGGCCCGGCCGGCGCTGCTGCCAAAGGCGGCCGAGCTCTCCTCTGATCACTCCCCCTGGGCAGCCTTCCCGACCGGACACTGCTGTCTGGCCGAAAGCCGGTTTGCAGCTCTGTTTTTCAAAGTTGTTTTGGTGTCTCCTGGCAGAAAGCTGCTGGTGACCCAAATTCTAAATATAGAAGCAAGTCCATTTTTTATGCGACAAATGCAAAACCTCTGTCCCACGTTCATCTTTGGGAAATAGGTCTTTTTGTCAGAGAAGTACAAATGTAACACCCAGATTTCTTTCCAGTGAGGTCACCTCCTGGCTGTGGTCATTCCCAGAGGGCACTCACCGTATTTTTTCTAGGTAAACTCCTCCATGCTCCTTCACTGCTGGAAAGCCACACTCAGAGCCTCAGGCAAATCCCAGGCTCTTCATGGACCATCCCCATCTCAGGTGCTGGGCAGTTTCTCTGGGATGGAAGTCCACATGAGGGTGGCCTGCTGCCCTCTCGCACGGCAGAGCAGCTGGGGAGCTAAGCCCCATCTCTTCCCTCCACCCTCAGGTGCTACGTGGGCTGTGGGTATCTACAGGGGGCACAAGGAGGTTTTATGGAGCTGGAGGGTGCTGGTTGCCCCATAGATATGATCATCAGCCATCTGCTTTGCACCTCACTCAGGTCACTGTCCCTCATCCAGGCCATGCAGCACAGAGCAGCTCCTCCCCACTGCAGAGCACATCCCTGTCCCACAGGTGTCCCAGGAAGGAACTGTCCCCAGCCTTGTAATAACCACAGCTTCCCTGAGTGTCTCACAGCTCTTCTCTAGTGCGTGCCAGGGGGCTGGGCAGAGGTCTCTGTGCCCCCTGGGGCCTGGGAGCCCATGCAAAGCCCTGTGCTGGGAGCACTGGGGTGCTGGCCACCAGGCAGCAAGTGACCAACCTTGGTGACAGCCCCCATTCACCACTCACCTGAGCCACAGCACATCCACACTGCCCTGCCCCCGGCAGGGGCTGAACTGAGCCCTTCAGCTGGGTGTGTGTCTGGCCAGACACAGCTGTGTGTCCCTGCCAGCATCCCTCTGGGAAGAGCGAGGAGACACTGCTGTGGAGTCCTGTGGACCTGGGATGGAGACCACGTGAGCCAGACAGGTCTCAGGCATCTCTGGAAGGGGCAGTGCAGTGGGGGAGAAGCCACGCTGAGCCTGTGCCTCATAGACCTTACTCAGGCCACCAAAGCCCAGCGAGGCACTGAGGTTCCTCAGGGACTGGTGGTCTTTCCCAGTTTAAGTAAGGAGCACACCTCTTGTCTCCAGTGCCACCACTCAAGGGACCAGAGGGGCTCCCAAGGAGATCAATGAGGATTTTTAATGATGTGAAAAGGGTGCATGTTGCATTTTCTTGATCTACAACACAGACAGCTCCAGGCAGGAACTTCCAGGCAAATTTATCCCAAGGGACAAGCAGCATGGGAACAGCCACCTGAGGAGCTGAGGTGTGGCACATACAGACACCAGGGGTGTGCGTGGGTGATTGGTGGCACCTCCCAGTCCATTTCACTGGGGCTGGGTGGATGTCTGGGCACATCCCTGAGTGCCCCAAGGACTCTCAGTGTGATGGGGGTGAGACAGGATGGCTTGGGGAAGGAGAATGAACAGCTTTTGCTCATTCATAAAGACCCTGAGATTAGCTCAGTTGGTCAGAACATGGTGGCAATAACACCAAGGTGAGGTCTTGACCCTGTATGGGCCATTCACTTCAGAGTTGTACTCGATGATCCTTCTGGGTCCCTTCCAGCTCAGTATATTCTGTGATTCATTTCCCTGTTTTCTGCTGTCTGGCACAGAGCCTGTGTTGCAGGATTGTCTCTGTACACTGCACATGTACTTCTTCATTAACCGCCCTTCCCAGCCCCAGCTAACGAGCGCCCAGCTCACAGTGTGGCAGCAAGCCCTGTGGCACACTGAGATTGGGGCCTTCAGGCACCTGGGAGCTGCAAGGGCTGAGCCAGCTGCTGACCCATAGCCCCAGGACATGGCTGGGAAATGCTTCTTCAGGTGCTCAGTAGTTACCTGGTGACTTCAGCATCACCAGGAGGAATGGCTGGGCCAGAGCTCCCTGGGCTCTGGGAAAATCATGGCAGGGATGCCAGGAGCAGTACTTGCTTGGGATGCAGCAAGGTCACCCCAGGCACCTGCAGGGTAACCAGAGTGGGCAGCTGAGGCTGGAGGGGTGCCCTGGGACCTCCTTCTCGGTCAATGCCAAATGCTGGAGACGTGTTCTTGGAGGGGTTTGCAAAGATCCAAACATACTATTATTTGCCTGATCTCTTATTGTTTTAGAAGTTTTGGACAGCTGGATGAAACTTTTTTTTTTTTTTTTAATAAAGGACACGTAAATGGGGCTTGGAGCTAGGTGATCCTTAAGGGCCCTTGCAACACAAACCATTCTATAATGAGCACCCTGCCTGCTTTGCATGCCATTTGCTGGGTGAAATGAAGCACGTGCATTACACACTGGCCCTGCACCTTGCCAGAGGCTCTCAGTGCTGCTCCCAAAACCTCCTGCATGAAGCAGAAGCCAGTGTGATCACCTTCCTATTTTCGGCAGTCACCCAAGTTCACAGAGTGCCTCCAGTTATGCTTCTGAGCAGCAGAGCCCGAGGCAGCTGCTGGGGTGGGCTCGTGCTGTGACACACAAAGCCCCACTTAACTCCCCATTACCTGTGGGCAGGTGAGGTGCAGTCAGCTGCTTGCTCATCCTCTCCAGCCACAGCCACCCCAGGCCTTGCAGCTCAGCTCAGCGTGACTTTCCCAGTGACCTGAGGGCCAGGGCCATGCAGGAGTCAATGCCAGGTCATGCTCTGTGTCCCCCCATCCTAGCTCAGGATGCCACAGGGAAGGCACTCTGGTTTCCCTTCCCTTATTCAGTGTCAGCAGACACTGCTGTCCCTGGGGACATAGGGGGGTCCCTCCAGTCTCTCCTTGCTATGCACAGACAGAGGACACAGTGACGTGGACCCCAGCTCAGCCCTGCAGGATTGTAGGCACACGAGGGCTGGGCCACCACGGCTTCTTGCCCACTATTCCCTGTGCCAGCAAGATTAAAGTCACTTCCCACTGTCACACGGCACAGCTGTCACCCACCCCAGAGCCCCTGGCCACAGCCCCTGGCAGCCACTGCTGATGGCCTCAGGCTGGTGAGAAGCTCCTTCCTCTGCTTCACCATCTGTGCTTTTCCAGCAGTAAATCACTGGGGCTACACGCTGCCCTGGGAGGGGACTGCCACCCCCTCTTGGCAGCAGGAGACCAGGGCAGGGTGCAGCAGAGACTGAAGCATTTCCCATCCCTGTAGGAATGGAGAGGGGCATCCCATTTAAACCTGTGCTTTAGGGCATATGCCAGCACAAAGGGGGCAGTTTACCTGGAACATGTTTCACCCTAACAAGATTCATTCTGCTGCATTTATTTATGCCCTCCTCTATGGCAGCAGGATTAAAGGCTAATTTCTGCACTCCTGCTGCAGCCAGCAGGAGCCATCCTGTAATCACTCCATGTGAAACCAGGACAAGCAGAAGCAGCAAAATGAACCTCCTGGGCAGCAGGAGCTCTTGGCTTCAGGCAGGGACCAGGTTGGGGGACAAGTGTGGTTATGCTCTAACTTCTGGGTGTCTTCTGCAGATCATCCCCCTCTGTGTCCAGCAACTTCAGCTCCTCAGGCATTCACTGAAACTGCCATGGCCAGCTCAAAATTCCCTCCATGGACATCCCAAATGAGTGGATTTTCTGCTTCAGACTGTTTCAAGCTTCACAGGCTTCTGCTCCCCTCCTAGCAAAGTGGGGTGGGAGCTCTGCAGAGTGGCAGCTCTCCTCCCAATATGGTTTACACTCTTCTGCAAGATCCTTCAATTACAGAAGACTAAATGTTATTTAATTTGTGACCTCGTGTTGAATAAGACACAATTAAATTCTACCTCTTGTGAATTTACAATGGGGAATTCTCACCTGTGATGCCAGATGAGTCCTAACTGTTCCATGCATGACTCAGACACCCAAACGGCTCCATTAATGACTGTTTTAATAAATGTTCTATCTTTATACAGACAATATCCTGCCCTGTGACAAGCCTGGCACGAGGTCAAACCAAACCTTGGTCCCACGGTCGGCCCATGCTGAGGACGAAGGCAAACCTGGTGATGCCAAGCATCCTGAGGGGCTCTGACACTCCAGGGACGTTCCTGGTGTCGTTCTTCCCGAACCCCCCTCGCCCCCTCGCAGGTGGGTAATGATCGGGTGGCACATCCAGGGGTTTCGGCCCCAGCCCCCTCATTGGTGTCCAAACTGTCTCAGTGGATGAGGGCTGTGCAGCGCAGCAGTGAGAGGGGAGCGGGTGTCTGGGAAGCCTCAAGCCTCCGTCCCTTCCCTTCGGCAGCGCCAGCACATCCCCCGCACCCTTCCTGTCCCCCCCGCGTCCTCGGGCCGCTGCGGGCGGGACCGGACTCTTATAATTTTTTTTTTTTCAGTGGCATCAGCTCTTCATTTCCGTCCATCTCCCTCCTCCCGTTCCCGTTGTATCTCGGTGCCGGAGCTCCCCTCTTCCCCCGCACGTCCGGGGGCTCAGCCCTTCCCCTCTGCCCCAACACTCTGCAGCCTTTCTCTTTCCTCCGGGAGCCCCCAGCCCTTCGCCGCCCCCTGCCCGGGGCTCTGCCGCCTCCTGGCCCGGAGGAACCGGTCCGGCCCCGGCCCAGCCCGCTCGCGTCCCCCGAGACCCCGCTCCCCTCCTGGGACCCCCGGCCCCGCCCCGGGCGGGCCCCGCCCTCCCTGCGCCCGCTCCCATTGGCTGCGGGCCCGGGGGGCGGGACCGCTTTGTGACGTCACGATCAGCTGTCGGAAGGTGCCGATTTGTGCGGGGGAGCGGCGCGCGCTCGGCAGAACGGCGGGGTTCGCACCGGCACCGGGACGGGCACGGCTACCGACACAGGCACCGGGACGCACAGCACCGGGACACACAGCATCGGGACACACAGCACCGGGACACACAGCACCGGCACTACCTCAGCGCCTGCCGCCGCCCGGGACACGCAGGGCCGGTGAGTGCCCGTGGGACGGGGTCGGGGCCGGCCCGGGGCTTTGCGGGCCCGCACGGCCCGGGCGGGGAGCGCCCGGCGGGGGCGGGGGTGGCCCGGGACCCCTCGGCTCCGGCCCCCCCGCGCCCGTTGTTTGTTTCTTCTTCACCGGATTAAGATTGGCGGTCGTTCCCCGCTCCCATTGGCTGCGCTGCGGTGACGTTGCCTCATTTGCATTTGACATTGAGACGTCAGAGCGCTCCCCCCCGTGTCCCGCCGTGACCCCCGGGCCGGGGCCGTGGCGATGCTGGCACGGGGCATTGCCCGCCGTGGGCACGCGTGGGTGGCCCCGGGCCCCTCCGCGCCAGTCGCTGCTGTGGCTTTTCTCGGCAGGAAACGGGGATGCGTCTCCCCCCGTGATGTTTAGACGCATTTCGGGTGCGAAACGTGGCGGTTTGGAAAAGGAATGTGAATATATAAATATAAGTATGTGTCAATGTATGAAATATGTAATGGAATCACAGAATGAGTCGGTTTGGATGTGACCTTAAAAATCATCTCGTTCCAACCCCCTGCGGGGGGGATGTCCTGGGAGGGACACCTTCCTATTCTGTATGTTATATACTGTATAAAATACAGCATATAGTATACTATATATATAGTATGCTATATGAAATAAATTTGTGTAAAGAATGTAAATAGATGTAAATCTCTAACACAAAATATTATCTATTTAACTTATTTCCAGGAAATCCTTGATGCTTTGGATTTAGATCCCTCTGTCTTTAGATCTTGATTGTCTTTGTAAATCCCCCCAGGTTTTATGAGATTCAGAGGCTTTGATGTTTTTGTTGAGTTTGGTTGTGCTGCCCGGGCGGGGGCCGTATGTGGAAGGGGAGGTGCTGGCAGTGCTCAGTTGAGGTTTGTGCCATGGGGCAACTCCACCACATTCCAGGGTGGAGTCCCTCAGGTACCAAACACAGCATCTCCCTCTGCTATTGCTGCTCTAAGGGCACCTCCTTTGGGACAGCTCAAAAAAGTCATAAGTCCTAAAAGGGCCGCTTTCCTCTGGATTTCATGTCTCTCACCTCAGCTTGGCTGAGCCTGGCAGGCCCTGGAAACTAATCCTGCTCCCATCTACGGGGACTCATTGTGGAAAAACTTGGACTTCGTGGAGTGTAAAAGCAGGTTAAAAAGGACATTTTTGCTCTTGTAATTCTTTTATGCACATAAATATACATATTTGTATAGGGGAGCTACAGCCCTGCTCAGAGCACCTGAGCAAAGAGACTGGCACCCTGGCATCCCAAAATAGTGGATTAAACTCCCTTGAGCCCAGCAATAGCCAGTGCTGAAGCAGCACCAACGAGGGCTGAGCTGGGCGGGTGCCAAGTGCTGTTGCTTGTTTGGCCAAGGTTTTGCTGGGGTAGGAAACAATCCCAGAAACCCTCCCAGAAACAGGTGTTGGGCTCTGGTACAGGACTTTGCTGGACCTCCTTTCCCACCAGACTTTATCTACAGAGTTCCAAGAACTGGTTGTTTTGCTCTAAAATAAATCTTTCCTCTCCTTTTATCTTTTCTCCCCCCAAAATACCCCCCTTCTCCCCCCTCAAACAACAAACCTACCACAAAAAAAGACAAAAGCTGTCTGCTGTAGCTCACTGCCACTGTTGGGAACCTGTTGTCAAACTGCTGCTTATCTGCATGAGCAAAAAAGGAAAAATAGAAAAGTTTTTCCCCAGGTAATAAAATGGTAACACCTGCTTGTAATTAGACTGGAAAACAAGTGACACAAACTTGTATGTGAGGGGTTTTTAATGCTGACTGCACAGCGAGTCCTGCTCTGGTGAGGGGGGCCCTGAGTGGCCTTGGGGGGAGCTGCAGGAGCTCGGGGTTCTTGTGGTGTGGAAGTGCAGTGCACCAGGTTCTGTTCAGGCTCTGTGATGTGGGGAGGCTGTAAGGCTGGGCTGCTCCCCTCCCTCCCAGTGTGTGCAGCTCCTTGGGATGCTTCACTCCTTGGGATGCTTCACTCAGCGGATCCCAGAGAGGAACGCTCTAAAATTTCATAGCGTGGCTCATGGCAAATCTAAAATTTCCAAGATCCTGCCAGCCCCTGGCAGATTTGCCAGGACTGTGTGTGATGATATCAAGCAGCACGAGATCACATTTGCCCTTGGGGTAAGGACCTTCCTGCAGCAGTGACAGAAGAGCTGCTGTGAATGCAGAGACCAGCTCCAGGAAAACATCTCCTCATTCTGCAGGGTCCCCCTCCTTCAGGCAGGATCTGGAGGAGCATGTGGGAGCTCTAGTCCCTGCTGAGACCCCGGACTGGCTGAGGAAAAGCCTTCCCGGTCCTGTCTTGGTCTGCCATTAATAAGAAGAATGTCATGATGAAGAGTTTTTTGGGATTTTTCAAACTCCTCTCTGCCTTCCCCCCCTCTACTCCTCTGATCTGCCATGGAAGAGGCTCTGGCTCTGGCTCAGCCTCTGTTTTGCTGGAATCAGTCTGTCTGTGCTGGCAGCACCTCAGGGTGCAGCTCTGCCCCTGTGCCCAGGGCTCCCCCAAGGCAATCCATCAGTGAGATCAGCTGGACCTGGAGCACAGTAGTTGTGGGACCTAATTCAGCGTTAATTCAGCCCCACCAAACTGTCCCAGGCAGGTCCCTGCCAGCTCTGGTCCCTCCCTTGGTGGGGAGGGCTGGGGGACAGCCCAGGGATGATTCACTGGACATTTCTGGGGTCATGAGCAGAACTCCCCTGAGCTACCCAGCTGCTGGATCCCTTCTGTGTTTTGTGTTTCTGTGCCAGGTTTAGGATTTTCCTGCAAGCAGCACAGCGAGCCTTTGAAACGCTTGTCTAATTTAGGTAAAATGAGTTGAGAATCCCATTTCCCAAGTGGGTTGGAGGAAGGCACCTGATTTGTACCTCTGCCTCCTGCTGGGCTGACTGCGCGGGGTATTCTTAGCTGTGCCGAGGAAGGGCCGCTCCCGCCGCCTGCCAGCAGCATCCCTCCCGCCGCCGAGTATTTATGGAAACCTTCAGGGAGCCTGTTGCCATTTCCAAGGGGAGTTGCTGTTTTCTTGCACGCTGGGACTTGAGAGCCGCCGGTCCCGCGGCGCTGCAGCTCCTGCCCCGAGCTCCCGGCGCATCCCGGGGCTCTGCTGCCCTCCTGCTCTCTATTCTTAGCTCCTGGGGTTATTTGCAGCCACGGTGACTCAGAAAACTAATTATTGTGTCGAGGTTTCTGAAGGGGAAAAAATAACTTGATGCGTTGTGGTTTCTTTACTTCCACTTTAAATTTAATATTTTTAATACCTTCTGGCTTGTTGTAAAATGCTGTTGGACTTTCTGGAAGGATTCTGATGGACATAATTCATTTAGAAACTTGTCTGTCCCCAGGTGAGTGTCCCTGGCGGGCTGTCCCCTTGTGCTGGCAGTGCCTGGTTTGTGGGAGCCTGGGAAGGATGGCAGCTGTCTCGTGGTGGTGGCCCCAGCTCTGGCAGGGGACAGGGGCTCAGTGTGTGCTTTCTGGGCAGCTCAGCCCCAAGAGGGTGGCACATAGGCAGTCCCCTTGTGTCCTGAGCAGGGATACCTGGGACACACCTCCCCCACAGATGTGGGGCATCTGCAGACACAGGAAAGCTGGAAGAAGGGACCTGAGAGGAAGAGAAGGCATCTCCTGGTCCAAACCGGTTCTGTGGGCACCGCCTCTGCCTGGTGACCAGGCACAGATTGACCTCAGTCCCCTGTCAGGGACACAATCGGGTCCTTCCTGCACTGCAGCTCCCATTGAGGCTGCCAGCCCTCCATGCCCTGGTGTAAATGGGGAAAATGTTTGCTGCAGGGAAAGCAGAAGCACTCCAAATACCTGGATAAACTTCAGAGCTTGATCTGCTGCTGGCTGCTCCAGAGAGAAGTGCTTGGTGGAACCTGCAGGGATGGAGGTGGCATGTGGCCATCTCACTGGGCAGGAGCTGGCCAAGGAGTCTCTAGTCTTGTGAAGGGCTGGGAGGTCACCCAAGCCCTCTACAATGAGCTGATGGATGAGCTTGGTGGCTGCCAGGGAGGGCCTGGAGGGTCTCCCAGGCCAGGAGCTGCTCCCTTCTAGGGGGGTGGGAGAGTGCAGACTCACAGACTGCTTGGGGTTGGAAGGGACCTTACAGAGCATCTCATCCCACACCCCTGTGCTGGGCAGGGACACCTCCCACTGTCCCAGGCTGCTCCAAGCCCCCTCCAGCCTGACCTTGGACATTGCCAGGGACCCAGGGGCAGCCACAGCTTCTCTGGGCAACCTGTACCAGGGCCTGCCCCACCCTCACAGGGAGGAATTCCTTTCCAATATCCCAACTAACTCTGCCCTCTGGCAGTGGGGAGCCATTCCCCCTTGTCCTGTCCCTCCATCCCATGTCCCCAGTCCCTCTCCAGCTCTCCTGGAGCCCCTTTAGGCACTGGAAGGAGCTCCAAGGTCTCCCTGGAGTCTCCTCCAGGTGAGCACCCTCAGCTCTCCCAGCCTGTCCCAGAGCAGAGGGGCTCCAGCCCTTGGAGCATCTCTGTGGCCTCTCTGGACTCACTGCAGCAGCTCCACATCTTGCTGATGTTGGGTCCCCAGGGCTGGGGCAGCTCTGCAGGTGGGGTCTCACCTGGGTGGGCAGAGGGGCAGAATCCCCCCCTCACCTCTGTCCATGCTGTGGGATCAGCCCAGGGCAGGGTTGGTTTCTGGGCTGCCAGTGCCCATGGCCAGGTCACATCCAGTTTGTCACCAGCAGCACCCCCAAGTCCTTCTCCCAGGGCTGCTCCCCACCCAGCCAGCCCCAGCCTGTGCCTGGTGCTGCCCTGACCCAGGTGCAGGACCTTGCCCTTGGCCTGGCTGAGCTCCATGAGGTTCACCTGAGCTCTTCCAGCCTGCCCAAGACCCTCTGGGTGCCCCAACCCCTCTGGCTGCTGAACTGACTGCCCCACACAGCTCAGTGCCATCCCCACACCTGCTGAGAGCTCTGGAGAGCAGAGCTTCATCCTGCTGCTTTCAGAGACAGGGTAAAGTAGTGGGGAGGATTAATGCTCATTTTGGCCCTTGCCTACATTTTGGCCTCACTCATGCCTTCACCCTGCAGGTTTGATCCTGAAAGCTTTGCCAGGAGCTTCCTGCAGCTCCCTGGACACCACCATGGGGCTGGTCCAGCCCACCCGTGGCACAGAGTCTCTTGCACCAGGAAAGGAGTCAGGGCCCTCCCATGTTCCCTGGCTTGGAGAGGGTGACAGCTGGAGATTTACTTGAATTCTTTGAGGACTGATCCTTTAAAATGATCCATTTCAAATTTTGCTCTTAGGGGAGCTTTTAATTCTCTCCCACTTCCTCCACAGCTATGGCAGCTGCCTGTGAGCCCCTGTGCCTTAACTTGAGAAGTTACATTTGGGAGAGAGGACAATCAAAAATAATAGTGTCTGTTGTGTCCTCAGAAAAGATAAATTACCTCTGGGTTGGGGTGGACCTGAGGAATTCAGGTACCTCACTTCCCTTCCTGTGGTTTTCTGGGGACCAGTCCCTAAGCAGGCGGGTGCTCTGAGTGGTTCCTGGGGGAGCAGCTTTCCTACTGTCTTGTAAAAGCTTTTATCATCATTTAACAAAGGAAAACTAAAAGGTTTTGACCATGTCAGTGGCTATTTGACCTTGATCTTGCTGGAGGATGAGCCCCTGGCAGGGGCTCCCAAAGCCAAGGCTGCAGAGCATGGGAAGCACTCGGTGCAGTCAGAGATTCCAGGCTGTCTTAGGCAACAGGGACAATCCCTGCCTGCCTCAGCCTCTGACCTGTGCTGGCTGCTTGGGAGCTTTTCTGGGTGACCTTGCCCTGGCAGCCAAACTGAGGCCACTGTCTTCCCCTGTCCCTGTGTGCCAGACCTTGTCCCCAGCTCTGCTGTTGGGTGACATCCAGATCTGGGCAGGGACAATGACTGACACTAGCATGAGTAAGTCAAGAGTGTTGCCAGTGTCCTCCTGATGTGGTGGGCTTGGGCACAGCAGAGGGGACCCCGCTGTCCCCAGCCCCACTGTGTCACCCTGAGGACCTCCCTGCTGGCACTGGGCTCAGCTTTGGCTCAGCACTTCTGCCAGCCTGGCAGTGCCCCAGCTCAATGAGCACATGAGCCCACTGCTGGCCTCACACTGAGCCAGGGCCATGGTGGCCTTGGGGGACTGACCCCTGTGACCCCTGTGACCCCTGTGCCTGCCACGAGCTGCCCCAGCCTCTCCTGCCCAGGCACCTGGGGAGCAGCAAACAGTGGGAGACTCTGGGACATCACCAGCAGGAGCCTGGGAGCTGTGGAGTTTCTGCCACAATTAGATATTTAATAAACATCTTAATTAATATTCATGTCATATTAAAAGGTATTTACTGCCTAGGTGAGTGCTCAGGCAGGTGCCAGGTTTCCAGGCTGAGCTGGTGCTGAGGCCACCCCCACCCTCGGGGCTGCCAGGGTGGCCTTTGCCAGCCTGAGCTGTTCCTGGGGGCACGTGGGCATCCCGTGGGGGCAGCTCTCACTGAGCTGGGAGTGAAGCACAGCAGAGTGCAGCCAGAGCCCAGCTGGGCACCAGCCCCTCTGTGTGGTGTTTCCCTGACTTATCTGAATGTGCTTTGATGATCCAGGTGCAGGGGGAGCCTGGCTGATTTCACTGAGAGCACTGCAGGGTCACAGCATGGCTGCGGGCTGTGGGCTCACAGAAACCACTCTGCCGTGTCTCAGTGCTCAAACCCTCCCTGCTCAGTGCCTCCAGAGGAGGCCAGGGACCCTCTCAGGACACAGAGCAGAGAGTCCTCCCTGACCTCCTGTTCTTCCTGGTGAGACTCTCCACAAGCCTCAGCTGAGCCATCCCAGAGTGGGTGGGAAGCTGGAGCCCTGAGCACTGCAGTCTGCAGGAGGGCATGGCTGTGGCTCATGGTTTGCCTTGTGCCCCTGGGGCAATGGGAGTCACCAGGGACCTGCTCTGGGGGACAGGTGGAGTCACACTGCTGCCCTGCCATGCCAGGGAGGGAGAGCTGGCTGTTGCAGGGCTGCCTCATGCTCCATCACTGCCTTCTGCAGCTGGAAGTGTCTGAGATCAGGGCCTCTGAGCTCCAGGGGATCCCATCCCTGGGGAAGGCTCCTTTGGTTTCTCATTTTCTGTGTTGTAGAGCAGATGCTGTTCCTCCCAAGGCACCTGAGAGACTGCAAAAGGCATTTCCATCCCACAGGGATGAAGAAAAGAGTGCCTGAGCCCCAGAACTGCAGTGCTCAGGCCAGCCACCTTGGCAGGGTGCTGGGACTGGGGAGGCCAGGGGGCAGCAGGGCTGAGCAAGAACTTTTCCTGCTGGAGGATTGGGGTGTGCATGGACGTGGGCGTCCATGGTGGTGCTCCTGTACCCTTCCCACTCCACTCTGCCTGCAGCAGATGGAGTTTCACTGGGTGCAGCATCACTCAAGCTCCATGGCCCCTTGGTCCTGACCTGGGCTTTGCCATGAGATGGGGATTGACCCTTTCAATGCACCCACATCAGTGTGCAAGCACGGCAGCACCCAGCTGTCCCTCTCACTGCACTGAGCTCCTGCTGGCATTTTATGGCCTTTTCATGCCCTTTTAATGTCTCTGAACCAAGTGGCACACAAATAACACACAAATAATACTCTGCACCTTTTGGCTGCCCCTCCTGTGCCTTGCCAGGAGCTTGGCAGACATGAATGAAATGAATGAGTGCTGACCTCCCCCCACACTGGAGGGAATCTGCTTTCCCAGGGATAAAACAGTGATGAGCTGAGCAGAGGTGAGGCAGAGACCCACAAAGGGCTGGGATGAGAGGCTGGATGTGAACAACAGTGTGTGCTGGCAGCCCTGGGAGCCAGCAGCACCCTGGGCTTGTCCTCACAGGGTGGGCACCAGATGGGGGTGATTCTGCCCACCCAGGTGAGACCCCACCTGCAGAGCTGCCCCAGCCCTGGGGATCCAACATCAGCAGGATATGCAGCTGCTGCAGTGAGTCCAGAGAGGCCACAGAGATGCTCCAAGGGCTGGAGTCTGTCAGGTCTGGAGCCTGACTGGGAGAGCTGAGGGTGCTCACCTGGGGGAGAGGAGGCTCCAGGGAGACCTTGGAGCTCCTTCCAGTGCCTAAAGGGGCTCCAGGAGAGCTGGAGAGGGACTTTGGAAAAGGGACTGGAGTGACAGGACAAGGAGGAATGGCTTCCCACTGCCAGAGGGCAGGGTTAGATGGAATATTGGAAAGGAATTTCTTCCCTGTGAGGGTGGGGAAGCCCTGGCACAGGGTGCCCAGAGCAGCTGTGGCTGCCCCTGGATCCCTGGCAGTGCCCAAGGCCAGGCTGGATGGGAGCACCCAGGAGCACCCTGGGACAGTGGGAGGTGTCCCTGCCCAGGGCAGGGGGTGGAATGAGATGAGACTTCCAGGTCCCTCCCAGTCCAAACCAGTCTGGGATTCTGTGACAGTGCTGTCCTTGTCCTGCCTGCTGCCAGGAGCTTGGCATGTTTGCCTGACTTAGGGACACCCTCTGCTCTGTCCCTGCCAGCTCCTGGGGATGGGTCTCCTGGGACACCCCACCCATGAGGATGGGGCCACAATGAGAGGCTTGGTGCAGGTGGGGGCTGCAGGGCACAGGCACCCAGTGCTGCTTCAGATACAGCACCAGCTGGGACAGCCCATGGCACAGATCAGTGCCAGAGGCACCTTTTGCTGTGCCCTTGAGCCCACCCGAGCCCCTGGGACGCAGGAGGGCCACACTGCCAGCCTGTTTTAATGTGCTGTTCCTTTTTCTCTCCCTTTTCCAGGCCTTTGCACTGAAGCCAAGTGAAGCACCTCACAATTGCACTGCACACTGCTCAGCTGTGATTCCTCTGGCAGCCAAACCTCTCTGTCACTGACACCCCGAGGGCTCTTTCTCCCCTCCCTGCCCATCTCTCCTGTCTGTGCCTGGAAGCTGGTGCTCAGCAGTAGCTCTATCTCCCTGTCCATCCTGCTGGACTGCTCCCCACCATGTTTCAGCGTCTCACCAGCCTCTTCTTCAGTGACAGCAGCACGCCAGAGGGCCTGGAGGAGCCCAAACCCTTTGTCCAGGAAGAGGAGGAGGAGGATGGCTGGCTCATAATTGATCTTGCAGGTGAGCAAAGCAACAGAACTGTCTTCCCACAGCCTCTGCTGCACCTTGTCTCTCCAGAGCTGGGCAAATCCTTATATCAGCAGATGGGCTTACACTACATGGGAGCAGCTCTGCCCTTCATTTTTTCTCCCCTGGTCCCCATGCTCTGCCCGTGGTCACTGCAGCAGCCTCTGACCTGCTCCTCCTTTTCCCTTTCCTCTCCCAGTGATGCTTCTCAACTTTCTGCCAGTGTGGGAGCAGCATCAGCATCTCCAGCTGGGGTTGCTGCTGCCCAGAGGCCTCCAGGTGCCTGCATGGCAGGAGGGGAGCCTGGCAAGGCAGGGACATCACCCAGAGCTTTGGGGCGATGCTGCCCACAGGGGTCAGTGGGGAGGGGTCCCAGGCTGGGCAGTGCCATGGCCTGGGCTGAGCTGTGCCCTGGACAGCAGCAGTGTTCCAGGAGGAGCCAAGCTCAGCTGCTCCCTGCCCTGCCCTGCTGAAAGCACACTGGGAGCCTGTTCCCCTGGGGAGGGGATGGGGCTGTCCCCATGGGAGGGCAGGTGGGAGTGGTGCCTGTTCCAGTTGGGGATGTGCCACCAGGGATCTGCCCATGCTTGGGTCATTTGAGAGAAGTAAATCTCACCTCCATGGGGGTTATCTTCCCAAATTATTCCCACTGTCCATGCCAAGCACAAGGGATGTTTGGCACCAGGTGCCTGTACCTAGAGAGCCCACAGGGCTCCCCATTGACAGAGCATCCCAAGCCCTGTGTAACACCAACCAGGCAGATTGAATTGCTCCTGTGCAGATCTTCACCAGCTCTGTTCAGACCTTGGGACTTTCTGTTGTAGACTGATGACTCAGCCAATTGCAATGATGTTTTTATGACCTTTTCCTTGCAAATGCAGCAGCAATCAGAGACAAACCCTCCTGCCTGTGAAGGAGCTCCTGAGGCTGTGCTCTGCTTTGGTAGCCCCTGGTTGGTTGTGAGGCCCCAGCTCAGGGAGCACAGATGTATCCTGCAGGTTTGGGAGGAGGGGTTTGTCCTCCCTCTTGCAGGCAGCAGGTCTCTGGGCAGATGTTCCCTGCCTGTTTTTGTTATTCAAATTGTTCATTAGGGTGTTTTTCCCATATGCAGTGACCTGGAGAAGGGACCAGAGCAGGAACAAGGCTGGGATGGGGGACAGGGCCAGCCCCATGCCTGGTAGGAGCACTGGAGAGCTGTTGGAGGTGGTGGGTGGTGTGGGCATGGGCAGCTGTGGAGGCTTCCCTGTGCTCTGGGCATTCAGGTGCCTGTGCAGGGAGGGTCAGGGCAGTGCCATGGCAGGGGGGTTGTTGCAAGGAGGTCCCTGGAGCAGTGGGCATGCAGCTGCCACGTGTCAGGGCCAGCTGGCAGCAGCTGCAGCGAGCCTAAGGCATGCCAGGAAGAGTCAGGAGCTTCCCTAGCCAGAGAAATGCTGTGCCCTGATCCCTGGGTTGAGGCTGCAGATGGCTCACAGGGGACCAGGGCCTGACTCTGGCACAAAACACTCCCACGTTTTCCCAGGGAAGTGCCTCAGCTCTCAGGGCAGCACTGGCTTCCAACAGTGTCTGCCTGTGAATGGCACCCTGCTGCTAACTCAGCTGCACTCTGTTCCCACAGCAGTCCCTCAACAGTGGGGGACCAGATTCTTTCAGCTCTATTTCTGGGGCTTGAGTTGTACCAAACACTCCAAGAACCAAACCCGGAGCCCCATCCTTCCCTTGGAGCTGTGGGGGCCAGCAGCTGCTCCCAGCCTGGCTCCCTCCCAGCAGCCGAGAGGCAGCCTAGGGAGCCTCTGGATTCAGCCTCTGCCAGCCTGGTCATTGCCCCTTGTGTTGCAAAAGGCACCAGAATTACTCAGACCTTCCTGGAATGTTTCTGATGCTGCTCCTGTCCCCTTGCTTAGCTTGGCCCTGCTCAGCACCCAGGGAGAGAGCAAAGAGCATTTCCCAGGATGTGGCTGCATCACTGAGGTACTTGAGGATCCCAAAATATTGCTTTGTGACATTAAACCCCACCTTGGCAAAGGATGGGCACAGTGCCCAGGATGCTCTCTGTGCCCTTTGTGGGAGTGCTGCTCCAGCCCAGCTCGGTGCCTGTCTCCAGGCTGACAAACAATCTCCAGCCCGGCATGTCAACAGCTATTAATAGGCTGATATCCTCTGACCTGGAGAAAGACATTCTTGTCTTTGGAAGGCCAACTGTGGCCTGTCCTGGGCCCTGGGCTGGGGCATCAGCTGCAGGAGGAGCTGGGGATGCACTGAGCCAGGAGTACCCAGCCCCATGCTCTGTTTCTCCACACAAGAACAGTTTCATCTGTGCTTCCTCCTGCTCCCTCATCCAGCTGCAGGATCCATGTAGATACCGCAGTGCCTCCCCCTCACCAGTTCCCTCAAATCCCCCCGATGAGTCTGGCAATGGGTTAGGGTTATCCCCACGTTTGGTGCATGCTCCTGCCCCAATACAGCCCCAGTAATCCCAAGCACAGGCAGCCGAGAAAAGCAGCGGCCCGAGTGCTGCTGCCAGGCAGAGGTGAGGAAGGGAAGGGATGGGAGGCTTGGGGGGGTGTCAGCTTCTGGATCAGCGACTCAAAATTTGGCCTCTGACAGGCTGGAGTTGAAGGCACAGTGCAAACCTTTGCTGAAGAATTTATTCCCATGATTTCTTCCAGAGAAAAGGTGTGGACTGTTTTTCTGCTGTGTGTGCTTGGTTTCCGTGTTTGCGGAGTGCTGGGTGGTGTTTGTGAGCACCGGCGTGTCGGCATTCCCGGCCCGGCCCGGCCTGGCTCGGCTCGGGTGCCGTCAGAGCGGGGAAAGCAGCGTTTTTCACTGCCTGAACTTCTTCTCTCCCTTTGAGAAGGAAAAAGCCCCTTGCTGCAGTAAACCCTGCCGGTGTGGCAGCTCTGTGGCTCGGCCTGTCCCGGCAGAGCCGTGTCCGTGCCGGAGCGGGGGGTTCGGCGGGCCCGGTGTGCCGTGTGCCGGCCGTGGGTGTCTCTCGCACTAACGATGCCCCTTTCTCTCCCCCTCCCTCCCTCCCTCCCTCCCCCCCTCCCTCCCCCTGTCCATGGTGTGTGTGTGTGTCCCCGCTGCCCCGCATGGCTCTGCACCCCCGCCCCAGGCAGCCGTGCCCGCCCCGGCCCCGCTCGCCGCCCGGCCGCTGGCGGTACCGGGCGCTCGGCGCGGCCCCGCCCGACGCCCCCCGGTCCGCCTCCGCCACCGGCTGCTTCCCCGGCTCCGGCCGGTCCCTGCTTGATGGACGAGAGTTGGTTTGTCACCCCTCCCCCCTGTTTTACTGCAGAGGAGCCCGGCCCCGACGGCGTGGGGAGCAGCCCCATGGAGGACCTGCTCATCGAGCACCCCAGCATGTCGGTGTACGTCACCAGCACCCTCGAGGTGGATGGGGAGGGCCCCGAGGACGATGCTGCAGAGTGAGTGCACTGTGAGGGTGTGGGGGGGCAGCAGCCCCAGCACCCACTGAGGGACCAGGGCTGGTCCTGCCATCCCAAATCCCCGCCAACACCCAGGAATGTTTCACCCACGGACATAGCGTGGCAGTGGGGGACATCAGTGTCCCCACACCCACCTCAGGGAACACTGCATATGTGGCAGGGTGCCCCAGCTGTCACCATGCATGGCTGGCAGCCCCCGTGTCCAAAATCCTCTGCCAAGGGGTCTCAGTAGCATATTCGGGTGGCTGTGGCTGCAGGACGTGAGCTTGGCACTGGGCTGTGCTGGGACAGGGCTGCATTCATCTCCCCTGCCCTTAGCAGGGTCTCCTGGCACGGCCACCTTTGCCAAGGCCACTCCTGCCAATGCCAGTGCCACCTGTCACGCATCCAGGGGGGGTTGCCAGGCAGGGCTTACACCAGGGGTTTGCATAGGCATGGCCCAAGCAAAGCAAGCCCAGTGGGACAGGGTGGCCTTTGGGCACAGTGGGCCCCTGAAGACCCCTTGGTCCCTCAGGCAGGAGGGTGCTGCAGCCCCCCTCGATCACCCGCCTGTCCCCAGACTGGCCCAGCATGGGGGTGGGTATCCCACAGCTGTGGGGAGTGGGACACTTCTTGCCCCAAACCCCAGCTCAGCAGTGGGGAAATTAAACAGAAATGCCCCAAATAGCCCCTTTGCCCCCCCCAGGCCTGTGGGCTGGAGCTCTCCACACCCATTTCTGGGGCCATATCCTGGAGCTCTGTCCTCCCCCCAGGGCTGCTCTCCCGTGCCCTGCAGCCCCCAGGGAAAACCTGGAGCGTGCCCACGCTCAGCCCAACTGCTGCTGGACAAGCCCTGACTGCCATGGGGGTGCCATGGGGCCCCTGCTCTCCCCCAGTCCCAGCCCTCCAACTCCTCCCCTGCAGCCCCACAGTGGGGCAGGGGAGGAGTAAGAATTTGGGGTGAGCTTTGCTCCAGGCCAGGAGACTGCTCCTGGTTAGGGGGCAGCATTTCTAGTTAGAGGACGGCATTCCTAGTTGGGGGTGCTATTCTTGGCTAGAGAGCACCATTCCTGGTTAGGTGACACTGGTCCTGCCTAGTGGACACCATTCCTGTCTAGGTGACACCATTCCTTCAGGACCTGTCTCTTTCCAAAATCTCCCTGAGAGCCAGAGCTTGATGTCCAGAGTGGACAGAGTGTTCTGGAGTGCCTCAGTGCTGGAGGGGGGCAGGGAAGGGCTAAAGGGAACCTGAGACTAGCCAAGGCTCCAAAGGGGTCACAGTGGGACGGAGACAGACCAGGCTCAAGGGACTCAGATGCAGTGGAGTTCTTGGTGGTGTCTTGATTTTTTCGGGTGTCCCAGAGCCTGCCTTGCTGGAGCCCCGCTCGGCAGGCGGCTGGGGGCAGAGGGCCGTGGGGCAGGAGGGCCGTGGGGCCGGGGTCCGTGGGGCAGGAGGTCGGTGCCCGGTGTCCCCCGCCTGCCGGGGCGGCCCCGGTGCTGACGCCGCTGTCTCCGCAGGGACGTTCCGGAGCCGCGGCCGGAGCCGCCGGTGCCGCAGCGCGGGCGGGCGCTGCCGGTGAAGGCGGCGGCGCTGGACAAGGCGGGGCAGGCGCAGCGGGCGCAGCGGGCCCGGCAGCTGGCGGAGCGGCACCGCCTGGCCCAGAAGGCGCTGCAGCGGCAGAACCGGGCCCGGCAGCGCCCGCCCCGCCGCGCCAAGCAGCTCCCGGGGGCCTTCGTCCACCAGCCCTGCCAGCGCCACTGCAACTACTGACCTCGCTCCGCCGCCCAGGGGCTCCCCCCGGCCGGCCCCGGCCCCGGGAGCGGCCCCCACGGACACCGGGGACACGGCGGCGGCTTCACTCCGCACCCCGCGCCCGCACGCCTGACCCGCGCTCCTCATCTTCCTCCTGTACCTTCACCGTGTCCCCCGCCCTCGATGCCGGCTGGGCCGCGACCCCCGGAGCCGCCGGCATGGAGCGCCACGCTACCCCTCCCCAGCTGCCTGGCAGCATTCACGCGGGAAATCGGAATTCCCGGTGAAATCACCTGTTCCTGAAATCACCTGTTCCCGGTGAAACCTGTTTGTCCTGATAAGCCTGTGACATCAGTGCCTTTCCTCACATCATGACTCCATGTACAGCCTGGCTGGGATGTCACAGAGACATCGAGCGGGAGTGACAAGAGCAGTGAAGCCACAAGATTTGGGATTTTTAGGAAAATCTCATCAATGACACTAAATATTGCTTCCGCCCTGCAAAACCAGCAAACACTTCTCTCCCTCCTTGATTTCTTAGCTACATTTTACCGTGATAAGATACTGCCCCACTGCCAGTCCTGAAGGGGCTTGTGGTTGAAAGCGCTGGTAGAATCTCCATGGCTGGGTCAGCCAGGCAGCTCCTGGTGCCTCACGGTGTTGTTTTTTTTAACAACCTTAAAAGGAATCTCAGGAATCAAAGCACCGTCCCAGCGCAGCACCGGAGCCCTTGGCTGCCGTGCCAGGAGGGGTGGCCAGCCTGGGGTGGCATCACCGTGGCTGGAGGTCCCCTTTGAGCAGCCCTTTGGCCCTGGAGCAGTGACCTGCCCCAGCTGTGTCCCCAGGGGTACGCCTGTATCTGTGTGTGTGTATTTCTCTCTGTTCCTGGACGCTCAGAGGAGGCTCTGTCAAGCCAAGGCTCGCTGTCTGCCTGGTGTTAGTCCCCGGGAGGGGAGAGGAGGCAGGATCTGCACAGCTTCCCTGAGGTGGCCAAAGCACGTCCGTGGTGGTGGTGAAGAGATGCTGAAGAGGAGGCTGGAGGGAAGTGCCTGAAGTAAGGACAAAGATGGATCTGGGAGCCACTGCAATGGGTCAGGATGGGGCAGACCTGAGTGAGAGGATTGCTGTAACAGGAGCTGTGACAGAGGCATCTTCTTTCCCCGCTAAAAATGGCATCCTTTCCTGTGAAGGGCCAAATTCACTGTTAGATGATGCTAATTTCTAATGAAATCCCTCCTCTCTCTGTGATGGACTCCTTCTGCCTTTGGAAGAACATGGTCTAGGATTTTCACTGGCTCCAGCACCAGCTGAGACAGCTTCAAATTCAGCAGAAATTTGCTGATCTGCCCCCAGTTCGCTCCTTTTAGGAACTGGTTTTATACCCTCTGCCCGGGGAAAGTGTCCTGCTCATGACCACAGCCTGGATTCCCACCCTCTGAGACAAGACATACCCCCACAACACTCCAGAAAATTCTGATTTCACCAGAGGTTCTTCCACTCACCATGTTGCATCCCTTAATATCAGCTGGGGGCCTCGGCTGAAGGAATTGTGGTGAGCCCAAACTGAGACAGCTGATAGTTATTAATTCTTTTAATGAGATTAAAGCCAAAATGAATCTTCTTAGTAGCAACAGCCCCTAGCTCCGGGCCAGGCAGCCTGGACCGTAGTAGCCAGCTACTGCTGCTCCCCTGCAGCATTTCCCCTTCACTGCTCTGCCTGGGCTCTCCCAAAAGCTCAGAGCTGGGCAGCTCCGGAGCTCTGCGTCCCGAGAGGGGGAACTGCGAGCCCTCGGCATTGCCCCGCCCTCCTCGGGCCTCCCACAGCCTCTGTCCCGGGCCAAGCCTGAAACCACGCCGAGATCACCCTGCTGGTGAAGAGACTGGCATCTCCTGACTCCAGGGCAGCGTTTACCTCCTCTGGCTTCCTGGGCTTCACACTCAATGCCTTTTTTTGCCCCTGCAGTGATTCCTGGGCTGGCCTGGGAGCAGGGCAGTGTAGGGCCAGTGGCACAGGCAGGGGCTGAGCCCGGCTGTGGTGGGTGCTGCCCTCCCATCCCCGTAGGACACAGCTCTGGGGCACCAGGGTTGGGGGGGGCGTTTTCTCTCTGGCCCCAGCACACATCAAGAAGGGCAGAAGCCAAGCACTGTCCAGCCCCCAGCTTGGTCTCACTGCAAATTCTCCTGCTGCCAGTCCCTCTGGAGCACTCCAGAAATCAGAGGCTGGCTGTGACCCCACTGCCCCCTTGACAGCTCCCAAAGGAACAGGCTGGGGGAGCAGTGGCCCCAAGCAGATCCTGCCATGTCTCACCTGCCGGGCTCTCCTGTGCCTGCCCAGCTGCTGGAGATGGTACCCAGGAGAAATCCCTTATGGAAATCCTCCCGTGCACCTTTCTCCTGTGCTGTGAGCCAGCCCTTGGCCGTGTTCCTGGGGGACTTGTCTCAGCCTGGCACTGCCAGCAGCACCCGGCCCCCAGTGCCCATTTCAAACAGGCGATCTTCTTCCTCTGTCCCGGTTTTCAGAAGCAAATTCAAACTCTTTCTGTGCCAGTCTGAGATGTCTTTCATCATTCTGTGCCCAGCCAGCACAGGAGATGAAGCAGAACTATTACCACACTTTATATCCAGAGTATGTTTATAAAAGATTAATAAATTATTAATAATGTTTTCATGAAGAGGTTAATCCAGACCCTGAGCCTCTGGTGGGTCAGCAAAATGCACGAACGACAACAAATGAGCTCCTGCAAGTCCCCTCTGTTGTTTGCACTCTTGCCATGCATTAACACCTAACACTCACCTGCCAACCCTTGCCAGGCCACTGTCACCCCCAGTGTGACCCCCCCCTCCCTGTGCTCTGGTCAACCTGTGCTTTGCAGAAGACCTGCAGGGTTCTGCTCCTGCCCAGCAGCAAGCACAAGGCCTGGCCTGGTCCCAGGCCTCCTGCCCAGTGCTGCCAGAGCAAGAAAACCCCTTTTCATTGAGGTTTTTTGTCTCCTCGAATCTTAAAACAAATGAAAGGTGCTTAAGAACTGAGAACTTCCTGTGTGTGCACCCATTTGCATGTGTAGATATTTCAAAGCCCAGTGTGGGTGTTCAGTAGCTTGTTTTGGGGTTGATTTTTTTAGGGGTTTGTTGAGGTTTTTTTTTGCACCCAATATTTGTGATGCACTGTGTGGTGCTTCCAATGGGGAGGTTCTGGTTTGCATGGAGCTCTTGAGCTGGTTCTGCTGGGACAGGTGGGGTGAATTTTGCTTTCTTTTCTGTACTTGTGTAGGGAGAAACTACAGCATGGACTCAGGGACAAACCAATCTGCTGGGGTCTTTAAAAATGTCTTTTTCCCAGGCTTCTCTGTTAGAATGTGGGGTTTGGTTCTGGGGTGCTGCAGGGATGTGGCCTGTGGCAGCATGTGGTGGTGACAGGAGCTGCTCTGACACTCTTGTGTGAAAAAGAAATTGTGGCCATTCGTGGTGGGATCATTCCTGGGCTGCAGCTCCTCTTCATTTGTTTATGACCTGAAAATTCACCTTTACAGCCAAATGTGGCTGGTCCCTTTTTAACTGGCTTGTGACCAAGCAGGTACAGATTTTCAGCACTGAGCCTCCTGGGGTTTGGGAAGTGCAGCAGGACTGTGTGTTATGGCCTGACCCACCACATCACTGGGATCAGGGGACAACCAGGATGGGGAAGCCATTGAAATCATCACCTGGGGACATGGTGATACAAGCAACTGAAAGAAATTTCTGTGTTTCTTGCAATGAAAGCATAAAAAAGGGAAGAATTCCCAGTGGAGAGGCCTGGGCAAATCCCTGTTCAGTAAATGCCAGCTTTGCTGGGCTGTGTGTCAGACACCTGAGCTGGCTCCAGCCCCAGCCCAGGGGCAGCAGGGCACTGGGGCAGGCTGGGACAGTGCTCTCAGCAATGCTGGAGTTTGTGAGACCCCTTATGGAGGGAAGAATCTTCCCACCACTGAAGCCCCTGTGGTGCAGGGATGTTCTCCAAGTAAGATTTGCCTCTGCTTGCCTGGTTCTGCTCTAGCAGATGAGGAGGATGAGCCCTCAGAGTGTGATGGGACAGGAGGGACAGCCCTGCTGGGGAAGTGCCTCCTCTTGGGCTGCACCAGTGCCCCCAGGCCCCCAAGGCTGTGCTTGCTGCACTGGCCAAGCTGTGGCCATGGCACACTCAGGGCCCCTCACCAGCAGCCACAACAAAGTTCTCACACCAAATTCTGGCTCTTGCTTGGCACCACAGGGCTGGAGGGATGCCAAGGGAGTGGGGGCAAAATCCTCCTCACCTGTTGCTCTGAAACTTGCACTCACAAATGCTCTTTCTAAGAAACTCTGCTGCAAAAGCCTGGTCTGGAAGGAAAACAATTCTTTCCATTGGAGTCCACATTTCCTTCTCATTATGCAGAACATCAGTGCATGGCTCATCCCAAAGATCACTGCTACGGGAATCTTCTCTCTTTAGGCTTGTTTCTAATCAATAATTTTACATTTACATCATACTAGTACTTTTTCCTCTTCTATTCAGCCCTAATGGGGAGCCAAATACCCACTTAGATGTCTTACCACACCATAAAGGAAAAAAAGATAAAAAAAATACTCCAGTAAGGTTCTAGGCTTGAGTCCCACAGCTTTGCAGTTGTGGATCAGTATCAATTCCATTGCCCTGCATAAAGTGGAAATTAAACTTCATGTGAATTTATTGAAAAACAAGTGAGTCCCCAAAGATCAAACATCCAATAATTAGGAAACAGTAAGAAGACATAAGTCACCTCAAGTCAAGAGAAATGGTTCTCAGAAGGCAGCACTGGACCCCACTGCCCTGGGAATGGCTGCTGGCAGTCCTTGAGTCTTCCCTGACTCTCTGGGTTAGAACAGGAGGCCATCCATGTCCAGCTGGTGCCACAGGGACCCTCGAGCCACCAGGGATTGTCAGCTGCCACCACTCCCAGCCTCCAGTTTGCTGCTCCTCCTTTGCTGCGTGCACTCAGCAATAGCTGCTGGTGGCAGGAGGGGAGCATCAGCAGCCCAGTGACCCCCCAGCTTCTCAGAGCTTCCCCCAAGCCCTTCTCCACCATGGACTGTGGTGGCCTCCTCAGCACAGCTGATGGCAGGGACCAGATCCTGAGGAGGGACATCCACGCCACTGGCAGCAGCCCCCTCCCAGGGACTGCCACAGGGACCTACCAGGGACAGGAATGGGCCTTAAAAGGGGCTGATCCCCTCAGGCCTTGTCTTCTTCAAGGTGGAGCTTCCCACCTCTCAGATCTGCTCCCCGCAAAGTCAGGAACCTCCTCTTGTCCTCATGGGCTCCATCCCCTTCCAATTCCCATCACTGGAATGGCTGCCACAAGTTGCCTGAATGTGGCTGTAGGAGCTGGATGCAGCAGTGGGAAGGGCTCTGCCTGCCTGAAGAGTCCCTTCTTTGCTGAGAGGTGTCCTCAGCCCCACTGGAGATGCCACCTTCTCCTTGCTCATCTCCAGGATCCCAGAGCCCTCCCAGTCCTGGGCTCTGGGCAGCTGCACACGCTTGGCCAGGAGGTCTCCCTGGTTCATCTGCCTTCCTTTGTGCTTCTTGAAAACCTTTGTCATTAACCCACCTCCCTCTCCTTAGAGGAATGAGGATGACGAGGGTGAGCACCTCCATTCAATAGCAAAGGTGGCTTTTATGTGTGATCATTTGTTCAGTTCTGTGCAGAGTGGTGACACCCAGGTGTGTCCCCTGTCCCTCATTCTGAGCTGACACCTCCCGGGCTGGCTGCTTTTCCAACCCCATATTTTGTACAGGGATGCTGCCCCATGCTCCAGAGCACAAAAAGAGCTGCAAAGCTTTGACTTGGTTGCAGCTAAACCTGAAAATCCTTCTGCCTTCCACTCTGACCCTATTTCATTGCATGGCGGGTGGGAAGATTTTATTCTCTGCAAATGAAGGGGAAAACAGCGCAGTAAATTCTAAGTGTAGCTTAAAAATAGGTTGCACAGGGGAGCCCAAAGCTCCTCTGCTCTTTCACATTCACCTCATGTACCCTTGCTGGGGAGCTGTGAGCAGCTGTGCCCAAATCTCCCTGAATTCCTATCCTCAGCTTTGTGCTTTGGGAAGTTTGGGGATGAGGGAGCAGCACAAGGTGTAGCAGTGACATTTCCTCTTGTGTCAGAACTGTCCTTGCACAGAGCACTGCAATATTCTACCTGTGTCTATCCACCCCTGGTACCTGCTTGTGAAACTCTTGCCCACACATTGCCCTCCCCCATGTGGGGCTGGCTGACTGTACATGTGCCTTCACCCTTTTTCATGGTTTGGCATCTTTTTTTAACACAATTACAGAACTTGAAAAAATCACTGAACTGCAGTTACAAGTCCTATGCAAGAGGTGACCAGGGAGTCAGTTTTTGGTATTTCTGTGTTTCTATGTTGTTTTCAAAGTCTTTGTGGGGTTTTTCAGAGAACCCCAATAGAATGAATGCCCCAAAAAGTTTTTTTTTGTTTGTTTGGTTGGTTTTTTTTGTGGTTGTTTTGTTTTTTTTTTTTTTTTTGGTTTTTTTGTTTTGTTTTGTTTGGGTTTTTTTGTTTGTTTTGTTTTTGGTTTTGGTGGGGTTTTTTTTTGTTTGTTTGGGTTTTTTTGCTAAAAAGCATTTAGCATTTTGGATATACTAAATCTCTTAGGCAGCTTTGTAAAGCTCTAAACCCCAGTTGCCCCCGGGGCCGTGTTTGGAGAGCGAGCAGGAGCGGGAGCAGGAGCAGCAGGACGGATGCCGGAGCGCCAGGACAGACGGACAGATGGCTGTTCCGTGGCTGGACAAGGTTGCCTTAAGCCTTCCCTGCAATGCCCCGGAGAGTGTTCGGTGCCCTCCCGCCTGTGCCCGGGGCAGCCCGGGCAGAGCAGCTCCGCCCCGGGCTCTGCCTTAGGCTGGCACAGCCCCACGGGGGTCTGGGAGAAGAGGCAGAAACCCCCCACGTTTTCTACATCACCTGTGCTGTAGGACTGAGACCTCGTCTGGAACTCGAAGCTAACGAAATCCGTCCTTCTCGTGTGTTACGTGTTCAGTTGGTGTAAGCAGGGTTCGTAGGAAGGGATGTCTCCTCCTCGTAGGACATTGTGTAAACATTTGCTGTGTGTCGACTGCCTCGGACACATTGTGTAGTGTGCCTGTGTGTGTGTAACCTGGTTTTGGTTGTTAGGTTATAATGCTGTCTCTTGACTGAAAAAAAAAATCTAATATAAAGAAAAATCACAAGAAATAAAAAATATATATATTTAAAATCTATTTATGTGTATTTCTCTAAAGCCTGCAAGTAAATCTGTCTGCAAAATTCTTTGGTTTTTTAAAAAATGTTTTTAAAAGAAAAACATCCCCTTTGAAGACAAGGACACACAGGACAGAGGATGGCACAGGCTGAGGGGTTGGAGGGGATTTTCCCCCTCCCCATTACCAAACCTTACAACTCAGCAGATAATGACAGAGCTAAAGCAGATGTCGATTGCCTTGAGAAAATCCCAGATCAGCCAATCTCTGCAGCATCAGCTGTTTCTCCAAGCACAATGTGAGACCTTCTCAGCACCCAGGAGAGGCAGAGATGCCTCCAAGGTGATTAAGGACTTGGAGATGAGGAGAGGCTGAGAGCTGGGACTGCCCAGCCTGGAGGAGGTTCAGGAGGATCCCGCCCTGTGTGCAGATTACTGAT